GATCGTGGCATCACATCGCGGCGCAACACCGTCATCACGAGCCGTCGCCAACTCGAGGGCTCGCCACCAGCATCGTCATCATCCCCCCCTCTTGCAATTGCCAGCAGTTGGTTCTTTCCCCTCCCCCGAACCTCCTCAAGGGTGGTCGTATAGGTATCCTTCTTTGCAAATTGCACTCGCACTCTGGCGCTCTGATGGTCTCCCCAACATGGATCCGCCGAATACTTGCGGTGGCGTCCCGACGCGCGGAACACGCCCCATCCCCTCCTCCCCTCTATCTCTCCTTCCTCACGCCTCCCCTCCTCCTCCTCCTCCTCCTCCTCCAACTCCTCCTCCTCCGCTTCCGCCTCCCCCTTACAATCATCGTGATACCTCAGGAGCGGCGAGGCGTCTCTGGCCACGCCGAGCCTCGGCAACGAACAAACTCCCCAGCCTAGACCTAGAAAAACGGAGCCCGTCTTGAACTCAACATGTTCCTTCCTTCCGCGTGTTCGCTGTGCCTCTCCATCTGTCTCTCTTTCTATCTGTCTCTCTCTCTCTCTCTCTCTCCTTGATTTTCGCGTGGGTCCTTCTGCTGCCGTGAGGCGCTAAGCCGCCCACCCCCCAATAGGGGTGGTAAACCAGAGGCTTCCCCTCGAACGCATGTGCCTTGACTGCTGCTGCGTAACAATGCTTCTCCTGATCCTGCGAACGCCGGCCGCGTGCGGCTGAAGGGGGGCGACTGGCGATGCGAAGGGAAGGAGAAGGGGGGAAGACTTCAGTGGTAATCGCGGAAACCAAGTGAGGGCAATCATGGCGATGTGGAGGTGACGGGGATGGACGGGAGGCGTAGTGAAAAAAACGCGGGGAAATGTTGCTATGGGAGCGTGGGCGAGACGGTGCCGGGCGGTTGGAGGGAGAGGAAAGTGGAGGGGGCGGCGGGGAGAGGGGGACGAATATAACGAAGACTAGAGACTGTGCCCGTGTCGTCCCGAGCGTGCTTTCAATATTTTGCAAGCTAAATGTCGGAAACATTTGTGCTGTATACATTCACAAACTGCGGCGAACTTAGACATCTAAACATCCAAGGGCTCCGGTATTCCGTATAAAGAGTCGGAGGGTACTATGTATGTGTACATATATGTGCAACAAACTGCATTGGCGCATCCAGCCATGCACTGCACGTGTGCTCCTGATGTTTGACATGCAGGTTGGCGGGCAATAAGGTAAAGCGGAACATGGACCAATAACTCATTGCTGCCTTTTCCGGCATCGTCTATGCAATAATCGAATGCACGATCCTTCACTCAAGTTTCCTCTTCCTCTTCCTCATTCTCGCCCTACACTGCGACTTCGTCCCCATCCTCAGCTCTTTCTTCGCGGAGCCCCTGAGGACCCTCACAAAAATCCCACCAACCCTTTAGGGCGTAGGTGGTCTGGGGTGCTTTGTCTTCCGTCTGCCCCTCTTCCCCTCCGGGGAGAGGTTTATCACTGTTCCCTATTAATAAACACCCCCTGCCCCAAGCGACTGGGGGCCAACCCAGGTCCATGACGACACCCCCCCACAATCCCTTGTACAAAAACAAAACAAAACACACTCTGCCTCCAAATTCGGAACATGCGCAGCCAACCCGATGCGCCCCCCCCCCCCCCCACCATCCCTGTCAAAAAACAATACAGGGTACACTTGGCGGAGGCGGCGGCGGCTGCGGCGGCGGCTGCGGCTGCGGCGGCGGCGGCTGCGGCGGCTGCGGCGGCGGCGGCGGCAGGGGCGGCGGCGGCGGCGGCGGCGTGGCGGCGGTGCGGCGGTGGAGGTAGCGGTGACACGGTCGGCGGCGGCGGACGGCGGCGGCGGCCAGCGGCGGCGGGCTAGCGAGCGGCGGAGGCGGCGTGGGCGCGGCGGATTGGCCCCCAGTCCTGAATACGTTGATATGCTGAAATGCGGTGGCGTTGGTGCGGCAGCGGCTGCGGTTTGGCTAGGGGGGGCGCGGCGGCCGGCGGCGGCGGCGGCGGCGCGGCGGGCGGCGGCCCCCGGCGCGGCGGCTAGCTGGCGGCAGGGCTGCGGCGGGCGGCGGCGGCGGCGGCGGCGGCGGCGGCGGGCAGCGGCGGCGGCGGCGGCGGCGGCGGCAGCGTTGGCGGCGGCGGCGGCGGATTGGCCCCCGGTACCTGCCCATCCAAAGACGACTGCTGAATATGCTGAGGCTCGGGCCAGACTCGGGTGCTACGTATGTGTTGGGAGGGCGGGTGGGAGTGAGCGAGACGGCTTGCGGGCGGGGAGGGGGTCTTGACCCCTCCCTCTCCCCCCTCCCCTGGACCTGGACGGGGCCGGTCGCGAAGTGTCAGAGCGTCCAAAACGGCCTCGGCGAGGAATCCAGAATCATTGGTTTTACGAAGGTGTTGAACCTATTTGGGCCTTTTGGGTGGGCCCCGCTAATTCAAGCTCCCCTCTTGTTTGGTTGATGTTCTCCAAGATGGCCCAAAAATAATCCCCAAGGCTCCGAAGGGCACTCCAAGAGAGCCCCAAGAGGCGCCCAGGCCCCAAGAGGCCCCCAAGAGGCCCCCAGGATGCCCCCAAGAGGCTCCCAAGAGACCCCCAAGAGGCCCCAAGTGGCCCCCCAGAGGCACCCAAGACGCCCCAAGATGCCTCGGCGAGAATGCCAAACTCACTACTTGTGCGAAGGTTTTGGCCACATTTTGGCCTCCTGGGGGGGACACTACTTTTAAGATGACTCCAAGAGCGCCTGGGAGAGCCCACGATGACCTCCAAGATGGCTCCAGATATCCCAAGACGCCTCAAGATGGCTCCCAAGATGCTCCAAGAGGCCCCAAGACCGCTCCAAGTGGCCAAAGAGCTCCCCCAGGAGGCCCCGAGGACAGAATCCTTCCAAAACCTTGGGGGAATCAATGTGTTTTGCTTTCTCGCCTTTTCGCTTCCGATGGCCATCCAAGGCCTCAAGACGGCTGCAGGATGGGCCCAGAGGGCCCAAGAGAGGCTCAAGAGAGCCCCAAGACAGCCCCAAGAGCGCCGAAGAGCGGTCCAAGAGCGGCCCAAGAGCGCCCCAGGAGGCGACTTTAGGGGCTCCCGAGTGGCAACGCTAATTACTGCTCCCCTCTTGTTTGATCGATGTCCTCCATGGTGGCCCCAAGAGCACTCCCAAGGCTCCCAAATGCGCCTCAAGAGGGCCCCAAGAGGCGCCCAGGAAGCCCCAGGAGGCGCCCAGGAGGCCCCCAAGAGGCTCCCAAGAGACCCCCAAGATGCCCCAAGACGCTCCCCGAGACGTTCCCAAAGGCTCCTCGGACAGCCAAGAGGCCCCTTAAGACCCAAGAGAGGCCCAAGAGAGCCCCAAGACGGCCTCAAGAGCGCCCAAGAGTGTCCCAAGAGCGTTCCAAGAGGGGCCCTTCGTCTGTGTGCTGCCCACTTCCCTGATCGAGGCAAATCCTGTGGGCATCGTCGCTGAATGGGCTGGTGGGTTTGTTCCCAACACTCCTGTTCTGGGTTCTCGTTTTGAATAGAGCACGGCTCGCGCGTCTCCTTTCTTCCTCCCTTCCTTCCCGCCCCTCTCTTCCCCCTTGCCTTTTGCCTCGCTCGTCGCTGCGTGCCAGCTGGGGGGCTGCGATCTGTGAAACTGTCGCCAATTTCGAAGCCTGCTGGGGGGCCCAGCACAGTGGGTACTGACCGCATCCCTGGGGGGGCTGCGACCTGTGAAACTGTCGCCACTTTCGAGGCCTGCTGGGGGGCCCAGCACAGTGGGTACTCACCGCAGACTCAAATGGGACCTCGCCATCCCTGGGGGGCTGCGATCTGTGAAACTGTCGCCACTTTCGAGGCCTGCTGGGGGGCCCAGCACAGTGGGTACTCACCGCAGACTCAAATGGGACCTCGCCATCCCTGGCGGGCTGCGATCTGTGAA